ACCGGGCCGCCGGGGCGAGGCGCGGAGCCCGGCCGGCTCGGCCTTTTGTTCCCTCTCCGGTGCGGCGCGGCCCGGCGCGTCTCCTAGTCCAGGGAAGGAGCGGGCGCGGGACGACCTGTGGCCTCTGAGCCTCTTGGTGTGGACTTCTCATCCCCGCCTGACGGGAACTGGTGTCAGGTCTCCCCGCTGCCCAGGGCTGGCGGCAGGGTTCGAACCCCGGACGCCGGGAGCCGACGGCGCGCCGCCTGCTCCGGCTTTTCCACAGCTCGCAAGCAGGTCCTCGGGTTAGCGCTCGAGACCCGAGTCGCGCCCCTCTTGCTAAGCATTTCGTGGGGCAGCTCCCCAAATAAACCAGTGCCTCCGGAGTGGGTAGATCGGGTCTTACGTGTGGCGTCTGGGAATTGTTTGGGGTCGGTGCCGGGCTTAGGATGAGTCCGGTGAAGATGAGCCGCCGCCCGGGGTGGCCGAGGTCACACCTCTCGGGGAGGGGGCGGGGGTCGTGCGCGAAGTGGCCGGCGGTGAGCGGGTCTGGGGCGTGTCTTTCAGACTGAAGTTACGGCGTCCGGCTGGGCGCGCCGCCGGGTCCCATGGAGCTGGAGGGGCAGTGGTGGCGAGGACAGCTGGCTGCTGACATCCACCAAGCGCTTCGGTACAAGGTATCTCTGATGCCCGACCTTCCCATTCCGGGGCTTGCGCCACTTAGAAATCTCAGTTCCTGGAAACTCAGGAAAATTAGGTTTTTACTGTTTTCCAGGCCAAAAGACTTGAGGTTTGCTTATTTGGCTAATTAACTTCTTAGTTTCTTCCCTGGGCATAGCAGAAGAATCTGCAGCATAAATGAAGAGGGGAATTGGGCATGTTAGTTGGGAGACGGAAGGTGGAAGGGGACGTCCCGTCTTGTTTCCAAGTGGGCCATTGCTTTGATCTTGTATTTAAATTATGCAGCTGTTAAACTCACATTTGTACGTTACTGAATTCCCCATTCGGTCCACTCAATTGCTGTTCCTCAATTTCTTCATCTGTGATTGTGAAATTTAAATGTCAGTATTGTACAGGAGTGTAGAATAGTGTTTGGCATCTACTCAGCCTTATAAATAATAACTGTTATTACGTGCCCCTTAACACTTGGCACTGTTTAAAAATTAGTCTTAAGGTGGAAGACGTTAGCTACTTTTTCCTGCTAATGCTAGTAATAAAAGTGGTATTGCTTACGGTACTTAATGGATATTGAAAAAAACTCTTTCTGGCATAAAATCTTTGTGTTGTTGCTCTTAAATTTTACAGTGCATGTCACAATTCAGATTAGTGGGACTACTCTGCCTCTTTGAAAACCCCAAGAGAAATCAGATCCAAAATGATCTCTAACTTAACTCAGTTTCACCTTGGATAGAGAGCCGTTTGTTGTTAAGTGTAGACGATTAAGCAAAACAGGTGACTCTTTAGTAAAAGGAATTCTGGCCCTTGTTGAGAGATCCTGGGACGATAATAAACTTGTATGTTGAGTTTCTGGCCAGGTTAAGCGGATTAAAAGATCTGATTCTCACATTGTTAAAATTGTACCATTTTCTAAAGCTTGAGGTTTCCAAATGCTATTTACTATTTGTAGTCTTACACTGTATATACACCAATGGCCCTAAGAGCACTGTTCTTACCACATAAAAGTTTCAGCTATGGAACGGTTTGCTAGAGTGTTGAAAGAGTTGTAAGGTTTCCACTTTGAAAATTATCCAGACACACTTTTGATTATTTTCTTTTTGACCGATGTCATCTTTCAGTATGAAATGTTATGTCAGCCTTTTTATCCCTCTAGTTTGTGGTAAAATTGTTAATGATGCATATATTTATATTTTTTTCAATTGACATAAAACTTTAGATTTTTCTTGGTGATTCCCATGGTTTTCAGTTCTTATTTTGTGTCTCGATAATTTTAATATTGAATAATTGAGTTAATTTTGTTAGTTGAGCTTAGACGATTTTTTTTTTAAGTTCAGATTTGTTGAATGTTTTGGTGCATCAGTCTTTAGAGGATCCAAGGAATAAAACAGCTCTGCACTTAAGTGGCTTATAAACTATCAGAGGACAAGATAGCACAGGTACTCAAGTAATGCCACTGAAGGTTGTCGTGGGCCACCTGTGACATACTGCTCTGGTTTGTCTTTAAGCATTGTGTGGATCATGTTCATGATTTGACAGATTGGCCACACGTTATAAAGATTTACATTAATTGGTAGAACTTGAACTTGCAGAACTGGAGAGACCACTACTGGTAGTACATTGAAATCAAGGAAGTTAGAATAAACTTTCTCATAGGAAAGACATATTCTACTCTAATTGGTAATTTAATTGGACAGTTGTAAATAATCACTATGTGCAAGGTACTCTCAGGTGTTAGAGCAATGACAGTGTAAAAGCATCTGAATTTAGGTCTTTGGGCAGTTGCCAATTCTGATGCTGTGTAAGAAGTTTTATATTTAGACCCAAGGTTTGTGGAGAAGATAATCATTGTGACCAGTGTTGTTCCTGCTAGGGAAGAGTGAAAATAAAATGCATACTCCTTGACCTCAAATGTTAAATGTACTGTTTTTGTAAAATAATTTACCATTCAAAAAAAACTTACAAAGCATCTTCTCTGTGTCTCATTTTGTTATCATTTTGCTACATTCACTAGTGTCATAGTCTGTTTGGGAGAGTATTTTTGGGAGCCTTTATGGGAACTGAGAACAATTCTAGCTTTGTAAGAAGCATTAAGAAAATATTTATTCCACAGAGTTGTGCTTAAACTTCTGAGTATTTCTTCTAAGCATTTATTTCCATCCTAGCTGGTCACTGTGCCCATTCTGGGGAGGTTGTGGCATTTGGGGTGGTGAGCTGATGAGGACTTGAGGCTGAGGATAAGGGTGATGTATTCAGGCTTCTCTGCTTTTTTTCATGTGGGTTGCTAAGAACCTAATGGAAACTGTTCAGTTCTAGGGGATCTGAAATGAATAAGAAACTTGTAGATTGAGAGAAGCATAGTCATTCTCATGCTTGTGTAACTGTAATACCCAGACATTATTTAAAATCCACTGATAGCTCTTGAGTTTCCTGCCCCTTTTTTTTCGTTTGCATTATTAGGAATTGAACCCAGGGCCCTATGCATGCGAGTCACTCTCCTTATTAGCTCTATCCACAGTCCCTGTTGCCTTTGTTTTCAATAAAGTTAGTAAGGTTAATGTCAATACAAATAAAGCCCACTAGTATTTTCCAAGTTTGTATCTTAGTGAGTCTGTCAAGTTCAGGCCTCTTTTTCCAGAAAACCTATCAAGGCGTTGTTTTTCCCCATTCCCCATCCCCCTGAGCTGAGTTACATCATCTTCCTCAGTGTTCTTATAATACCCTGTGACTACAATATTGTATTACAATGATCTGTATATTTTTATTCACCTGCTAAAGAGAGGCTGGAGACTGTTTTTCCAGCTACAGTATTTCCTGGGATTAGCACAGTGGCTGCTACATGGGAGATGATTAGTAAATGACACATGATGGCAAGAAAGAAAAAGTTACAACTCATTTACACCATTGTGAAGACCTGTAGAAATAGTGAAGGAGAAAAGACAAATCCTAGGAGCTATACAAGAAACTGGAATGTACCTTTTATTTGAACAAAATTTTTTTCTCAATTTTTTTTGTACTTTTTTTTTTTTGGCTGTTTAAGACAGGGTCACACCATGCAGTTCAAGCTGGTCTTGAACTCACTTTGTAGCCCAGGCTGCCCTTGAACTCACAGTGATCCTCCTGCCCCCTCCTGCCCCACACTTCCTGAGTGCTGGGATACAAGCATGCGCCACTATACTTTTCTTATATAAACATTAAAAACATAAAATGGCCCATTAACTTATTACTCAGGTAATCCCTGTGAATATTTTTAAACTTTAAGTGGTACATGGACATGGTTCGAAAAAAATACTTGACATAATACAGTATAGGAAGGTTTAAATGAGGCTCCTCCCACCACTGTTCTCTGAAAATCAATATAGCTGCAAATATTTGTATTTGTAGCATTGTTACATTGATTATAAAGTGTACTTGTTCATACCTTCCTACCACTCCCATCTTAATTTATCAGATTTTTTTCCGTGTCAACGCATCTAGGTCTCTGCCCTTTTTAAAAATACCCTATTAAGTTGATATCCCACACTCTATGTATTCAATTTCTATTGATAGATATCATGATTTCTTTCTTTAAAAATTAAAACTTTTTAAATTCACATGCACTTGTAAGAATAATAGAGAACAATCCCTTAAAATGTTTCCTCACTTTTCCTCAGTGGTAGCCTCTTTACTGTTACAACCAAGGTATTTACAAGTGATCAAAATATACAGTGATTGTTTAAATTTTGGAAATACCATAGTAAAAGACATACTGCCCTTAATCCTCCTCAAAATAGCTTTCTCTTCAATTTGAACACATTTGTCCCATTGTTCTTGCCATTTTCTGAAGCAGTTCTGAAGTCCTCTTTCATGTCTTTACAAAGTGTAATCAAAAATACAGTGAATGCTACTCTTCATTGCCATTCAGCAGAAAGGCAGTATTACAAAAACACTGCAGTGTGTCCTCATCTACCTTATTCTCTGGATCTGGTACTGTGAAACCTCTTGGTTCTTCCCCAAAGTCAAAACAGCCATGAATGGTAAACGTTGTCAGTCAGTTCGAAACAGCTAAGTAGCCATGACAGGGCAACTAAAGACCCACAAAGGAATTTGCAGAACTGCTTCAGAAAGTGGCAAGAACAATGAGAAGAATGTGTTCAAAGTAAGGGGGTTTATTTTGAGGGGAGTTGATGGTAATATCTTTACTGTATTAAGCTTTTTGAATTGAAACATTTACTGTATTTTTAGATCACACCTTGTACATTGATGCAGGCAATATACAGAAGATTCCCCATCATCACAAAGATCTCTCACGATGTCCTGTTACAAAAGGTGCACTGCCTTCCCTCCCACCCCATGTTGCCCCTTAACCCTGGCAACTACTCATCTGTTCTTCATTCTATAATTTTGTCATTTCAAGAATGTTATTAGAAATTAAGTTATACAGTATGTGACCTTTAGAAATTAACTCCTTTTAACTCCATATATTTCTTCAGAGATTCATTAAAATTATATTGGATATCAAACTTTTTTGTTCACCATATACATTTGTACTCTTACAAACAGCTGCAAAGGATCCCTTAAATGTAGGGCAGATTCCTGGTCCTGCAGTTGCTAAGTTAAAAGATATGTGCATTTAAAAAATGTATCTATATTACCCAGTTATCCTCTGAAAGATTGTATCAGTTGTTAAATTATTAGTAGAATGTGTTACTACTTCCTGTCTTGATAACATAAACAAAAGTTAATAAAAATCAAGTAAGTGAAAAAATGTTTTAAATTTGAATGAAATCAGGCATCTTTTTGTTTTGGGCGCATTTATGTTTTCCCTATAAACTACTGTGTTTTTCGTATGAACTGTGTTTATATGTTAGTTTTTCTTACAAACTTATCAGTTCTCTAACAAATCAGTTCATTGACATATGTGACAGAAATATTTATTAACTGTATCTATTTTCCCCATTTCTGAAATGCCATTGTCACCATATACATTATTTATCCAAGAAAATAGACTGTCTTTCTGTGTATGTCAGTCTTCCACAACACATGAGATTTATTTTCATATAATGCTGGTATCTGTAAATGTATTTCTCAGTGTTTTCATTTTTATAGTTACTATAAATTGTATATGAAATGCTGTATTTTCTGATTATTAGTATATAGAAAAGCTGTTTTAGAACATTTATTTTGTTGCCAGCCATCCTATTAAATTCTTAACTGAATAATTACAGAATAATTATTAGAACTATGTTCAATAAATGGGCACTAGAATAGTAATCCTGCTATTTCACCTCCAAGTGAGATACTGGCTGTTATATTTAAGATCTTTTTACCTCCTTCCATTTATTGCTTATCAAAGAGATATATGCACATCTTTTCCTGTTTCTCTCAGGGTCACTTTTATTTTAGATGCTGTTTTGGCATCTGTCAAGATGAATGTACGTATTTAAGTATGAATCATCACTGTGACTTACTATAGTGCATTTTTTGAAGTATTTTTTGAATACATTACTAAATTGCATTGGCTACTGTGTATCTCAGTATCAAACTATACTAATATGTAACTTTTGTTTTCATGTATTATAAAATTTACCATTTTTAAGTGACAGGTCAGTGACATTATATACATTTATATCATTTTGCTGCTATTACCACTCTCCATCTTTATAACTTCTTTGTCCCAAACTAAAACTCCAAACCCTCTGAACAATAACTTCCCAATCTCTCACCCTTCCTCCTCTAGTAACCACTATTGTACTCACTGTCCCTATGAATGTGACTGTTGTAAGTACTTGATGTAAGGAATCATACAGTAAGTTTGTGTTCAACTTACTCACCTTGCACACTCTAAGATTCATTCATGTGGTACATACCAGAGTTTTCTTTTAAAGGCTGAACAATATTTCATTGTATGCTTACACCCTCTTTTATTTATCTATTAATCTGTTTGTGGTCATTTGGATTGTTTTCACCTTTTGGTTATTATGAGTAATGAATGATGTTATGAACATGGATGTACAAATATTTGTTCAGGTCTTTACTTACAGTTCTTTTGAATATATTTCTATAATGGAATTGATGGATCATTTGGTAATTCTATGCTTAATTTTTCAAGGTACTCATACTATTATCTTCGGCCACTACTTGATTTTACATTCTCACTAATAATGTATAAGGGGTCCAGTATCTCCGCATTCTTGCCAACACTTGTTCTGTTTTTGTTTTTTTGGTGCTAGCAATCTAAATGAATGTGAAGCAGTATCTTACAGTGATTTTGATGTGCATTTCCCAAATTATTAATGATGTTGAGCATCTTTTTATGTGCTTGTTGGCCATTGTATATTTTCTTTGGAGAAATGTCTGTTAAGTCTTTTGCCCATTTTTAAGTCAGGTTAATTTATTATTGTTGAGTTGTAGTTCTTTATATAATTTAGATATTAACTTATTATCAAATAAGTGGTTTGCAAATATTGTCTCCTTTTCTGTGGGCTGCCTTTTTACTCTGTTGATAGAGTCCTTTGATATACAAAAATACCTAAAAACACAATTTTATCTTCTTTTTCTTGTACTTTTGATAGCTTGTCATGTTACTTCTGGTGTTGTTATGTTAATTTCAGTATTATGCTGACTGTATAAAGTGAACTTAGAAGCTTTCCATCTTTATGTTCTTGAAATCTTCTAGTAGTAAATAAACTTTCAAATTTTTAAAAAATGAGTTCATATAGTGTAGATTTAAGATTAAACACTGATTATGGGGCAGTATTTTAGATATACGGAGAATGATGACAAAGGAGGAGTCATAAAGTTGTTAAAAGAGAAATAAGGTTAGAAGATACTAATAGATGAGTGCTGATCTCCACATCTCTGCAAGTATACTATAGTAGCAACATACTGTGACTATGGATTTAATCTATTACCGTCTAACCAAAAGCTTTGAGCTTCCTGGAGGTGTGTGTGTGTGTGTATGTGTGTGTGCGCGCGCGCGTGTGTGTGTGTGTGTGTGTGTGTTGGTTTTTGATAAGAACAGTTTTCTGAAAACACCTGGTTGAGAACAGAATTCTCTTATTATAAATCTTCGTAGAATGAATCCATTCCTTGAAGCAAGAAACATTTATAATTGGTCACAGAGGTAGTTAATAAGGAGAGAATTTTTGTTTTACATTAATTTTTAAATGCCATTTATTATCTTCCCACTTGGCTTTTTAATTTCTGTCACTCAGGAAGTCTGTTTTGAGCACTTGTAAAGACAGTGTTAAGTCTTTGTATTGTAGAGATACTTTTACAGATTATAGCAAATTACCAGATTAAATGTTGTTCCTCTTGCTTCAGGAGCTGAAGTTGCCCTCCTACAAAGGCCAGTCCCCTCAGCTAAGTCTCAGAAGGTATTTTGCTGACTTGATTGCCATTGTGAGCAATCGCTTCACACTCTGCCCTTCTGCCAGACATCTTGCTGTCTATTTATTGGACTTGTTTATGGATCGCTATGACATCTCTATCCAGCAGCTGCATTTAGTTGCGCTTTCCTGTCTGCTTTTGGCAAGTAAGTATGAATCTGATCTATATGGCTAGAATTTTCATTGTTCATATAATACAGTAAATTTATATATAACTGAATTATCACCAAATCCCATTCATTCTAGTTTATCAGTATTGGGAAGAGTATTTTCAAAGTGCTTCTTGGCACAATAATCAAGCATTACTTGTTTAGTTGGGTTTTTTTTTTTGGTACTGGCAATCAAACTCAGGACCTTGTGCTTGCCAGGCAGGTGCTTGTGCCACTGAGCTATATTCTCAGCCCCTGAAGCATTACTTGTTAATCAAGCATTCAGAAGTGACTCTGGAGTTTTAAAAACATGTACATAAATCGTAGTGCTAAAGATTCTGATAGAAATACATGGTGTAGGTCATCACAGATACACTGATTCAGAATCTGCATAATGGAACCTGGGTATTGCCTAACTTTTTAGAAGTCCCAAAGGTGATTTTGATATACCTTTCTAATTGGAATCCTTGTTTTAAATCAGTGACTCCAAACCAGAAGCAGTTTTGTCTCATGGAACCCTTGTCAATATATGGAGATATTTTTGGTTGTCACATCCTGAGGGGATGCTACTTACATCTAATAACTTTCATGTGCATAAGTCATGATTAAAATACTTTATGTGTTTCATCACTGGCTTGAAGCCTTTCGAGGCTTACTAGTTTTTGTAAGATTGGAAAAACTATACTCCTTGATAGATCATATGTGTGAGAACCCACAAATAAAATGACTTTTTATTGTCCTACAAAATAATAGTTTATTATAGGATCAGTTTATAATAAAGAGACTGGATAAGAGATATGTTAGGTTGTTTTTAAAATTTGAGATCATTATTGGCAAGTAATTCTTTTGCCTGCTGTGACTGTCCTTGTCATTTTATCACTACCAAGTCCCACCCGTTCTGCCTGTGGTTCTTAAAATGTGTGGTGAAGGGGGAGACCCATTTTGTTGGACTGTGAAATAATGCGTGGTACAAAGTCTGTTCATATGCTGACTTATATTTGCGACTAAAGTTTACTAATAACTTATTAAATGAGTTAGGCACTACTAAAGTAGACATTCATAAATGACATGTCACTATTAAATTTTCTAAAGACTATTATTGATTATTAAGAATTTTGGCCACTGAGTCCTATTTTACATTGGTGCCAAATTCCTATAGTCTCCACAAGTTGGATGAAGGGTGCTTTACCTTTTGTACTACCTTAGGCTGACTGGAATGGAGCGTTCAGTTGTTCGTCTCTTTAACTTACATGTTACCATTTAAGATCACAATCCATTTATTTTATTCAAAATTACTTGGTTTAAACTGTATGGTAATATATAGATTTCCAAGCTTATTTTCTAGTGCTCGCTTCGGCAGCACATATACTAAGCTTATTTTCTAGTAATGAGGCTTTAGACCTGCTTATTGTGATTCATATGTGAATTACCACTTACTACTGAAAGAGATGAACACCTCCTTTGTTTGTTCTACTGACTCTTGACCCCCTTTTTCCTGAAAGAGAAGAATTGCTTTTACATTACTTTTCTGCTGAACAGTGGGAATGTGTGTGAGATATCCTTCAGAGTCTCAGCCTCTCCCAAATAAGCAGTGGTCAAAAGACTTGGAGTCAACAGCCCAACACTGGAGTTGGGAATCTAACAGGCTGGCTTTAGCCTGTAGCAGTTTCTCCTTCCTTGTGTCTATAACTACAGCAAAAAAGCTGTCTAAACTGATAGCCTGTTTTCAGTGTCTGGTATTGTTTTAAATTGTGGAATTTATTCTTAATGTTTCTTACATTTTATCTTCCTATATTTAGATACCAAGGGCAGCTCTCCAATTAGTTATCATAAACGTTCAGATTCTGCTGCTTTTCTCACAGGATTGAACTTTGTGTTCTGACCCTCACCCAGCAACTCCCTACTTTGGGATGGATATGGTAGAGTGTGAAAGTGAAGAGCAGCTTATAGTGCCTGGTAGTTTGGCTAAAGACATAGCACAACTTGTAATTTCCAAAAACAATAACCAACTGCCTATTATCTACACTATTAGAGATAGGAAGAAAGGGCCTACACTATCTCTAATTGGAGAGCAGTGTGTAGTGTTTTAGAGTAGGGACTATAGTGATGGATTTTCATAAACAATGTAAATTTCAAAAATCTTTGGGTCTCAGGTTATTTGTCTATAAAATAGAAATGAAGACTCATCCCATACAAAGTTTCAAGGGTCAAATGGGGTGATGTGTTTAAAATTACTTAGAAATTGAAACACTAAAGGGTTAGCGTTGTAAAGATTAACTCCTCTGCCAGGTTCCCTAGCCCATAGATTCTAGCTTTCTAAAATGGACCCAGGTTTGTCCCGGGAAACTCTTTACATTTTGACTGATTCATATGTGACCTGGCTTTCCTTGGCTTCTGTACCCAGCATTAAATTTGAGAGTTTGGAACCAGTCTTGGATATGAAACTTCTGATAATTTACTCAGGGTCTTATATAACTGAGAAATGGTCTCATAGTTGAGTAAAGTCAAAAGTGAAAAATCATAGACTTTTAGTGGTAACAAGTGCTTGTATCTTCCTGTTCACTAACCCTAATACTGGGTTAGCAAAGCTTTCTTTATACTGTTAGGTGAACAATTGTAACTCACAATTGGTTTGAATTACATCTTAATTTTTCATGAGGAGAGATTTTTTTTCTGTTACCTTTTCCAGTTCTTTATGTATTTTTCAATTAGACTGTGGTCTTACAAATTTGTGTTCTTTCTCACTTAGTAATGAAAGAATTGAATGTTAGTTGGCAGTATTCACAGTATGACATCAGACCCATGCCCTACTCAGTATTCAAATCTTACCTACTACATATATCTACTGTTCTCTGCTAGTTTTGAACATATATAAGTTTCCATGGCTGATCTGAACATTTCCTCTAAAGGAAAGACAACATAGTGTTTTGTTTCTGTGGCCTCTAATTCTTTATTTTCTGGGAAGCCGATAGGAATTTCCTGTGCCCTTATTTCCTGTCTGAGACTTTATCAATATAATCACATGGCTTCCGGAATTTCCTTTCAATTGAACAAACTGATTCAGTAACCTGTGGGTAGCGTTATGGATAAGTAAGTCATATATAGCATTTGGCATAACAAAAACTGTAGATGTGGAAGCAGGTAATTTGCTGGTGTTACCAAACTTTTTGATACTCTTTAATATCCACATAGCTGAATATACACTATACATAATGAAAGAGTTTCAAAAAATTTAAACCTGTATTAAAATCTTGTGTGGTTATTTATATAATATGGAAGTTATTTTTAACTTTGCAAATCAGTATGCAAAGTCTTTTACATTTATAACAGTTGGATACTTACTACATACATGAAGATACAGAAGTCTGTCATTCTTATAGTTGACCCCATATAACCTGGTATAGAACTGTGGTTTAGAAAGACAGATTTAGGAATTCAAATATATATCTCCTTTTGGCTTTCATTTTTAGTTTGACTGAACTTATTTGACCTTAAATAAATTGGCCAACCTCACTACCTTGGTTTTTTGAGCTGTGAAATAGATCATGTACAATTTTATTTTTGTTGTTGAAAGTCACAAGAAAATATGAAACGTCCTTGAATTATGGTGTGTTAGTTTCTTCAAAGGAACTTCAAGCATGACATAAATAAACTCATTAATTTTTACAGTGTTCTTTTGAAGTTCATTGCCAGTATTGTTGCTGCTACATAAATGCCAGGGTGCTTTGAAAGTCATGATTCATCCAGAGGTCTTAAACTAATTCTTTGGTCATTCTCCTTCTAAAAATTTCACTCTATTATCTGAGAGCAGTAGTTTTCCTATTTTATCTATTTAGCAACGATGCTGGATATCTGTGTTAGAAATGCCACTTTAATGTTTCCAGCTGTACTTAGTATATACTATTGGTCAGACTTGTGAATTCATCTTTATGTGACTTGAGCTGGGCAGGGCTATCTAGACTCTTAAAGTCTATTATCTGACGTCTAATGCCTGAATTAGGTGAGTTTTCATCTCCTATTTTCAGTATTATTTACTGAAAGAGTTAGATCCAAAGTTCAAAGTCTCTCTGAAACAGGAAGACATCACTGTCCCTTAAATTTAGGTTTTTCTCTAGACAGACATAGAATCTCCTGGCATCAAAGAGAAAACCTTCTATCCCAGTTCTACTCTGTACGCAAACACCAAGGCAGGCAGCAGTATGTATCCCCCAACCCCAAGGGATGAGCAGACCACCAATGGCTGTGGCAGCATTACCACTGCTTACACAATGAGTATCTGCACTGAATGACCCTGCTCTGTGCCATTTGTTTGCTATAGCAACTTGAAAGTATGGTGCAAACCCATGTCTTCTAGAAGAGAAACTTCACAGGGAAACTTCTGGCTTCCAATGTACTTTTAAAGTAATATTCTAAACAGTAATAGTCATAAACAAGGGTAAATGTAAAATCTGTTATGAAAAATCTGTAATTGTGATATGATTATTTTAAACATTAAAATAGAACATAGTTTTGGCAGATAGAAGGCTTCCATTATAATTTCTGTTTTCCATGGACCACTGTGGAACGAGACTCAAGACTTGAAGACAACTCTTGTGCTATTGCTGCATCTGGAAAATCTAACAGTGTAGAAATTGATAACTTGTGGATTTTTTTAAGCTATAGGTTCTAGAAATAGCTAAAACACATGTTTTATATATAATAAAATATTTATTTGGAGACTAATGTATAAGATAATGCATTACAGTTTTCCTGGTGCTGAAGAGGAAATCTTATTCTTTGTGCATAATTAAAACTTTATAGACTATTTCCTAAAAAGAAATGCCTTCAGATAATGAAATCCAGTTATCAAGTTGTCTTTGCTCCTAGTCAAGTTTGAGTAAAGGAATTTAAAAGAGGATAAAAAGTCAACCTCTCTCTCTCCCTCTGTCAGATTTAAGTAGATTTTTGTTTTGAATTCTAAAGAGAGGGGTGGAGTTTTATGTGGAGTTATAACGCTTAGTTACAATATTCACCCAGTCCCCTGCTCCCAGATCTCTTCTTTCTGGAATTAGGCTGAAAATATGAAACACTTGAAGCTTAATTATTTTTGTTTCAGGTAAAGCTGTGACATAAAATTCTTTAATCTCTCTTCTACTCTAAAATAGTTACTTTTCTTTCACCAACTCAACCTACCCACACAAACAAAACTCTGAATTAGCTGGTGAGATTTGACACGGCAATTTGGTAATTGGCACATGTGACTACTACTTTTATACTTTAGGACACAAATCGAAATGTTTACATGTGCAAGCATTTTTTCAGAGGATGGGGGAAAAGCAGGATACAGTGATACTGGGAAAGAAAACATGTGCAACCATTACAACAGAAGACAATTCTGGCACAATTCTTTCTCAGTAAGGTAGGAAAAAGAGTATCTTTGGATCTAAATCCTCATGGTAGAACAAAAAAATACCATTTAACTGACTAGACATGTAATGATCATGGGCTTAACATTTTTTCCATCACCTCCCTTTTTCTTATAAGGTAAATTTGAAGAAAAAGAAGATAGTGTGCCTAAGCTGGAGCAGCTCAACAGCCTGGGTTGTATGACTAATATGAATCTAGTATTAACAAAACAAAATTTGCTACATATGGAACTATTACTATTGGAAACCTTTCAGTGGAACCTCTGCCTTCCAACAGCTGCCCATTTCATCGAGTATTATCTCTCTGAAGCAGTACATGAAACAGATCTTCATGATGGCTGGCCAATGATTTGTTTGGAAAAAACTAAACTCTACATGGCCAAATACGCAGATTACTTCCTGGAAGTGTCTCTACAAGGTGAGTTGATGTGAGCGCTATAAATGACTTGTGTGCTTATGTCGTGTTTGGTCTGTTGCTTAAGTTCACTTTTGGTGTCTCCACAGATTATGCCTTTCTAAATTATGCACCTTCTTTAGTAGCTGCTGCATGTGTGGCTTCTTCGAGGATTATACTTCGACTTTCTCCAACGTGGCCTACAAGACTACATCGTCTTACTGCTTATTCATGGGATTTCTTAGTGCAGTGTATTGAACGGCTATTGATGTAAGCCCTTTTGTTCTTGTGTTTCTCATTAACATTTTTCTTCACGTATACAGTACACCACAAACCACTTCTAAAAGGCACAGCACTCTTAGGATATTTCCTCTGTCAGCTGCTTGCTGCTGTGAGCAGGCCACTATACGAGCAGTACTTTGTAGAGGGGAGCTCCCTTCAGCTGCTAACAACTTAGAGGTTGCCATTGTTAGTATGATTCTAGGCACAGTACCTGATAGAGAAAAGAATTGCTCTTGTATGTCTGTAGATCTATAACTCTAAAATCAACCCAGGCAAACCTTGCCCAATTCCCATTTCCATATCTTTGAATTTCAAAAATTGCCTAGATAATAAGCACTCAAGTCCTTATTATGGACACATCTTCCAACCTGGAAAAAGCTTAGAAAGAGATAAGGGACACCTCATTGTTGAAGTGGGGTAGAACTTTCTTACAGATTTTTCTCAATTAATGTTTCCATTCTTTCCATATTTCAGTGCTCATGACAATGATGTGAAAGAAGCGAACAAACAGAGAGGACAGGCAGGCCCTCAGTCAGCACAAATAGGTGTGTTCCAGACAGCCTCCCAGCCCTCACGGCCAGTTCACTTTCAGCAGCCTCAGTATCTCCATCAGACTCAACAGACCTCACTGCAGTACCGCCATCCTGTGTCAGAGCAACCCAGCTGCCAGCAGATTGTATCTACCACACACACCTCATCTTACACACTACAGACGTGTCCTGCGGGCTTCCAAACTAGTGTTCAGGGCCTTGGGCACATGCAGACTGGTGTTGGGATGTCCCTGGCAATACCAGTAGAAGTTAAGCCCTGTCTGAGTGTTTCTTATAACCGGAGTTATCAGATAAATGAACATTACCCTTGTATTACTCCATGCTTTGAAAGGTGATTGTGTGTGAAGCCAAAAACTGACCCAGACTATTTTGTGACTTGAAGGCCTGGGGCATCCTTTTTGTAAACTTGTCTTCAGAAGAAAAGGGATCCAAATAACATCAGAACTCTTCAGGTACCAGCACCAGGAGGACTGAATATCCGTTCAGTATCTATGAATACCTAGGAGAACTAACCAAACATTTTAACACTGTGTGTGTCGGATCCTGTTTCAAGCAATCCTTGTATGACAGAAACGCTCAAGCCTGGCTGGTGGTCCAAATATTTCAAAAATATTCAATTCAACAGAAAATTTGGACAGATTCCAACTTGCCATTTTGAGATTTGACCTGTGGTAGGCTCTGGGCCTTATGTTCACTTATATGTCAAAGACTAATGTTTGTCTCTGGACTTGCCAAACTATCTTTTATGAAGGAAAGTTAACAGTATTAATTTTTGAAGAGATTCTTTTGTTTTATTCAGTTTTGTTTTACTTTTGAGCTACAGGTGAATTTCCAACTTAAGTTTAAGTTCATGTGTTGTACCAATTGTGCAGTTAAATTTTTTTTCAAATTATCTTATATAATTTCCTATCATAAATAATAGGTATCTGGATTTATGTACTAAAATTAGGGTTGGAGTAGATCTCGTATCTTGAAATCACGGTCATCATTTTTTAGTTTATTTGTTTGTTTTGGTTTTGTTTCCCTAAGTGATTAACCTTAAATCTTTAGAATTAAAACACATTTAACTCAGGGAATTTGTACTACTTGGAAACATTTAACTACATTAACTGTAATACAACATGCTTTGGGAATGTTATAGTGTGAACTACCTTTATAACAGGTTTAAATACTCCTGCTAGGATGTGTTTTCAAATGAGAAGATACTATTATAGCACAGAATGAAGTGGGGGTTCCTATTATTCATAATACATGTATGGGTTTTGCATTTCTCAGTGCAATCGGTGATTTATACTCAGATTTGATACTACTCTTTGAGACTTTTTTTCAAGAGAAGACATATCTGTAAAGTATCAGTACTAGAATAAAGTCCCATAGGTTTATTTTGGAGTGAAAGGTGGCCAGGGTAATACTCAGGTTGTGCTAATGTAGCACTTTGTATATGGAAGACAGGTTTTATAAGCAACCTTGGAATCCAGCTAGTCAGTCTAAGCAGGCAAGGGTACTGATTACTAAATTTCAGTAGTCACTTTCATTAGATTGGCCCAACTGCCCAGAGACATTTCACTGTACTGGTAATGAATGAGAACAGCAGTAATAGTTGTTCCAGCAAGGGCAAGTTAGGAGTAAAATATTATGGGGGAATTAAAAAGGAAAACATCATAACTGATAAATTACATATTGTGCTCTTATCTGGGAGGAGAGAGATTTGGTGGAGGGAAGCTTTCTGGTTTAAAAATTAGTAAGGTATGTATTTTGTTTGTGTTTTTTTAAAGATAGCACTTGAATAGAAAAGAATCTGCATGGCAGATAGGTGACCACCACAGTATGCATTGAAGACAAACTTATTTTAAAGATGTGGGTATGCAGCAGGAGTCTCAGTAATCAAGCCAGTGGCCTTTGTTAAGAAGGTAAGGGGCGCAACACAGTAATGGACTGATGCCGACAGCTCCAGTGGTTGAATGTGGGTGGGGTGGCTTCTGCCAGCAGGATTTCTTAGAGAAATGTCCTTTCTTAAAAGGAAAATAACTTTTATACCTACCTGGAGTACATAGGCCATGAGGTGGATTTATTAGTTTGGTAAATAAAATAAAAACCACTCAGGTAAGAACACCTACTATGGCAGTTTTCAAGCATGAAACTTATTTTCTGAAAGTATCATCTCTTTTCCTCTTTTAAAAGGCTGCTAATTGGATTTTAATAGTTCTTACCTTAAGAAAACTTGAATTATTTGGAGGGAAAGTAAGTTATAAAAAATAATACACCTTTCACCTTTCACATTCACGTAGAACCCAGTAACCTGGAGTCCAATTTTCAGTATTTTAACTACCTCAGTAATGCTATGAATGTAAGATATTGTGATAGAGATCCTAACTTGAAACAACAACCAGTGCCTGTGGTAATTTAATGTCTTGTCAAATGCTTTTATTGATTGGTTTATATGTCATTCTTGTTGTAGAAAAATATGCCTTTTAAAAAAGCCTATTAATACTTTCCCAGTTTATATTTTTAAAAAAGCTAAAGAACACTGGATTAATCTTTTGGGAGGGGTAGAATAAAATAATTGATTACAATTGCTGCATACCCGGGATGTGGTCGGGTGTTTGAAGAACCAGAACCATTTTTAAAACAATAGGTTTCAATATAACTACAACTCATAACTGTTAGCTTTGTGGGAGGGAAGTTGTGTGGGTTTTGTTTTGTTTAATTTATTGATTAGTCAAATGTTTTTGTTACGGTGGTTTTTTGTTTTTTTTTTTTGTTTTTTTTGAGATTACTGGACCATGATAAAATGTGTACTGTGAAGAGATTAATGATATGTATAAGGGCTTAACCAAAGTCCACTTAAATAAACACTACTCAAGTACAGACTGCAAACCAAATGTATCTGTTCTGACATTAATTGCAAATAGTATGGTGCTAAAGTCTACACCAATGGAATTAGATGAGTGCTATGCACTTAATTTTAAAATAAAACTAGTTTTCACTAAAATGGGCTTGGTGGTTTTATTTTAAATACAGACCTGTAATTTGAAGGTTCATTGAGCCACATCATATAAGTCAGCCTGAGAATCACAATTGTATTTAGTAAGAGGCATAGAGATGAAAATACACATTTGTCCATTCTAACCTCAGCATTGATGCCTACAAAAGTACTTTGTATATTCTAACCTCAGCATTGATGCCTACAAAAGTACTTTGGACAGTAATGTTGCCTTTCTAACTTAAAATTAGTTGTAAGTTAGCAGGTTCTATTATGAAATGACTAAGAACATGAGAAAATATGAAAATCTGATCTCTAGAGAAAGACACAAAATGATCAAGGATGTGAGAAGGAACAGTCAATAGTGAGTAATGGTCTATTTACCTAAGTATAAATATTATTTACTACTTAATTCAACTTAAACCTTAGCAGGTGGAATTTGCTTTAAAAGATTAAATTTAACAGGTTTGTACAACAAGTATGTTGTGACTTTACACCCCCTAAAACACATTTTTAAAATAAACCTTGTAAGTTTCGTCACTTGCTTTGTGCCCTCAAGAGAGTTAATATACAATGTTTTTCAAGGCAATTTTAAGTAAAGGAAAAAAAAAAATTAGAATTTCAGGACAGGGCAAGTAGTTCAGAACTGAGGTGGTTCTGAACCCCTTGTGGCAGTTAATCTTGATTGTCAGTTTACCTGCATTGACAGATTCCTGGAGAGGTGGTTGGATAGAGGAAACTAAGCTCATCAAAGTCCTTTGATGAGCTTGTAGTTGTATGTGATATTAGGGGGTGGAGCCTAGTTGGACAAAGTGGGTCATGGGGGTATGACCTTGGGGATTATATCTGGCCCTGGCCCCTTGCTCAGCTCTTCCTCAGCTCTCTGCTTCTGGGATGCCTTGAATTGAATAGCCTCTGCTATTCCTCCGCCACACCCTTCTGCCACAATGTTTCTGCCTTGGAGCCAGCTGGCTGTGGGGAAAAAGCCCAAAAAGTAGACTTCTTTTATTTTATTTTTTTTATTTTAAAGAGAGTAGTAAATGAGACACAAACAAAAAATAGAACAATAGCAGCATACCAGTATCACAAACATAAACAAGACTTCTTTTAAATTGCAGTTATCAGGTATGTTTTCCCAGTAATAAAAAGCTAATATACCTCACCTGACAAGTTAACAACTTAATCGCATTGTAAAAGACTTGGCCTCTCTGGCCTCAAGCAGCTTACACGTCACTTGATAAATGCAGTTAGGACCCTGGGAGCAATTAGGATGGACTCATCTGGACCTCACAACATCCATTTTTAAATCCTTTGGATTAAAAACACTACATAAAAAAGTACAGTTGACAGCATGACGACTAGATCCAAGTTCTCTGACGAAGGATATCTATGGCTACCCTACTCCTGTCCCCCTACCACTCTACCTTTATTCATAAAACATTCTGCCAAGTTAGGGTAAAAATTGCCAACCTTAATTAAAGGAGTTCTGAGTCTAAAGTCCATGAACCCCTGCCTTGGTATGCAAAAGTTTTCTTCTGTCCATGACTTTTATCAATTACTTAAAAGGGTTCTGTGATTAAAAATAGTAAGAGGCACAGTCTTATCTGTTTTCTTCTAGTGTTCCACTAATAGATTATGTTCATTTTTAAACAAATTTTTAATTTTAGAAAAGACTTAGAGTCACAGAATTATTACGAAGGTACCGTATGAGTTCCCGTATACCCCACCCGGTTTTCCCTCTTGGTCTCATCCTGTATTGATATGGTACAGTTGTTACAGTGAACCAACGCTGGTACATTATTAGCCGTCAGATTTCCTTAGTTTTCCCTTGACATCCTTTTTCTTTCCCAGGTTCCTATCCATGGGGTCACATTACATTAAACAGCTAGGTCTTCTTAGGCAACTCTGGGTTGTGGTAGTCTCAGACTTGCCTTGTTTGTGATGACCTTGAGGATCACTGGTCAGGTGTTTCATTGAATGTATGACCCTCAAAAGCAGGGCGTTTGTTTTAGTCATGCCTCTGTGTGTGATAGGGAGCCTAAAATAATAAAGGCTCTTGGGATTTTAGGTCATTCGATAGTTTAAAGTAGGCTCTGGCTGCTAAGCAAATGCAGTCTCAGGCTGATTTAGAAATTTTGGTGATGACACAGTCCCATCACATTCAGTACTGATGATGGTGTCAAGAGAATTTCACGAACTGAATGGAAGTGAGTGGAACGTGACTCACATGTGGCCATAAGCTGGTGATGCATCCAGAAATCATGTTATATGAGCTATTGCTTTTTCACTGAAGGACCTGGTAAGGTTTTCATCTGGGAGAGATTAAAGGAAGGTGAAATGCCTGCCTCCCTCTCTGGTGAGAGGACATCATATTTTTTCCAAATAGCTTAAGTAAATCAGCAATCAAAAGTTTCTCATATCAGTGAATAATATGCCAGGATGTTACAAGTGGAGCAGTATTGCTTTGGGAGTTCCAGAATTCCTAGTCACCAGAGGTCCCTGGCTAGACCAGAAATAGGATGGAAGTAATCTTCAAATATGGGTGTGAAGTAGACTAGATGACTTCTAAGCTATCTTCCAATTTTCAAGAGTTTCTGAGGGTCTAAAAATTTTCAGTTGGCTTCAGAATCTAGAATTTGAACTGGGTGTAAAGGAAGGAAAAAGCTTCAGCTACACTAGAGTAATCTGCAGGCGAACATTATCCTAATGATGACACAGGCTGCATTAGTCTGGCTGAAACCCTTTGCTCATTTTAACTGCTGGACCTTAAGGGCAGATTCACTGAGAGCGTGTGAAGGAAGTAAGGTTGAGTTGTAGCATGAGGCCGGATTAAGGAATTTTGAAAGCCATTACAGAATGCAAATTTTGTAGGGGTAGAGGCACACCCCAGACCCCAGGATCCGCAATGTGATACGATGATTTTAGGAATAATGCTCCAGTTGTATGCCTTGTAGGTAAGGGAGAAGGGATGGGATTCAGGAAGATTTTTGCGACAATACTAAATCAAGTCATGAAAGTATATAGATATTTAACAGTACAAACACTAAGAAAGGTAATAGAATTGAAAATCAGGTGATGGAATAAAAGGAAATACCTGTATAAAAATGAATTATAGTGTACAATTAGGATATTAGAAGGCATACATGGAAATACAATCACAAATCTTATTTAAAAAGTTTTTTACTAAGTTTATTGGTACATTGTAGGTATACATGATGATCACATTCATCATGGGGAGTTTGTACCTATACATGATACATCTTTTTTTTTTTTTTGGTTTTTCTCTGGTACCGGGAACCGAACTCATGACCTTGCGCTTGCCAGGCAGGCGCTTTGCCGGTGAGCTAAATCCCCAGCCCTACATGATACATCTTGATTCTTTTTTTCCCATTCCCCTACAAAACAAATATCCATGTAGTAACACAGTTTTAAAGGTATCAATACTGGAAATCTGACGGAATGTAACAGAACTAACCCCAAACATCAAATCCACAAATACAAATAGGCTAAATTAAACTATTAAGAGAAAAAAAATTAGAATCAAAGTGAAACTCAAATCTATGTTGTGTGACTTCAATTTTATATTATTCAGAAGGATTGAAGATAAAAGAGCTATAGAGCAACTCAAAAAGCAAGAATCAAAATCTTAGTAAGAGACAGTGTTGAATTTAGGCCAATATGTATTTTAAAAAGACAAAAAGAGCACTCTGTAATGCCTAAGACTACAGTGTGCAATAAAGAACAGTTATGAATAGCTGTGGGTCAAGCAACTTGGCAGGAATACTAAGCAAAAACTAGGAAATCTAAGATGAAATATTTAAAAAATGAGGTAGGAAGCTAATTCACCTCTGATCAGTAACTGAAAAAATAAGGATACAAAAATCTTAACATACCATTTTGAGAGATCAAATCAACATCCACTGAGAAACTGTGAAAGAGAAGGGCAGACCTGGCACAAGATGAAAGTCATAACAAAGGATGTTGACAGGTACAGTAAGCAGAAACAGTCTGTCACTATGTCATTGGCAACACTATCTTCTGACGAGGTCTTAGAGTACTAAAACTGCGTTCTTTGTTGACCCATCTAAGTGCCTAAAGTCAAAACGTCTCAATTGGCTTTTTTGCTTGCTGCCAGGTAATCTGCAGCTCACCAAGAAAATAAAATTCACAGTCTCCAAACTGCTAAAACACTCTCACTCTTGCCTCTGTTAAATGAAATTAATCTATACTGGTTTCTACTATGTATAAATAAACAAGATTAGTAACTGTTTTTTAAAAATTTCTTTGATAATATCAAACTTTAATGTGCATTTTCAAAACATGTGACTATTCATTAATCCACAAAGAAAAACTGCAATCAATCAAATTCAGAAACTAGAATATAGAAAACCTCATGAAATGTGACTAAAAGAAATATGTAATAGGATCAAAAAAAAAAAGTGTTGATACATTGTGTCAACTTGGGGAGTCTAGAGGTTTGGCTAAGTGATTCAGCAGTTCTGGGGTGCAAAGGACGTGCCCTTCCTGCTCTAGGATGGTGTTCATTGTGTCAGTGTGAGAAGTTTAGAAGGTTAACTATGTGAGTGCCGCCCCCTGGGTGGGGGTCGCCTGCTTATAACATAAGGGAGGGAAAGAGGTTTGTACACACTGCCATTCCCCACTTTGCTCTTTTTGCTTTGCTATCTTCCGCCTTGCTGCCAACCAAGTATGGACTGAAACCTCCACAAACTGTAAGCTAAATAAATCTTCCCTTCCTTAATTTTGGGCGTTGGGTATTTCATTTCAGCAACGAGAGAAAAGTAACCAAGACGGAAAGAAAGAACTCAATGTTTAGAATAAATAAATCTAACAGGAAACTTAAAGAGTATCTACCACATCACTATAAAGAAAAGTCTATACATCGTGATCTGTGGTATAAAACTAAAATAGTGCTCATGAGAAAATTAACATCCAACTGAAAAAAATCTGAGAATACGTAAACCACAAAAATACAGAATAACCCTACGCCT